CTCATCAATCTCACCAGTTCACAGTTGGATTGATTCTAAATTGAGAAATAATTAGTTGATATTTCCTTGAAATAAAACAGCTGGCAACACAGAAAAAGTGAAATGCTGTCTGTAGGTTAATCGAGGAGGTGGTATATTCATTATTCCAGATTTTTTGGGATTTTCTCTCCTCGTTTCTATAAAATAAAAAGATGAATATTATTTCAATATACATGTAGTAAGGACAAATCAGATGATTTGCCCCAAAATGTCACTGCGTTTGAAGAATTTTCCTATCATAGAGCCTAAAAGAAAAATTCACTAGCTTGTCAGTGACAATTTGTATTGATAAAAAGTATGGAGAAGAGAAATAAAGGTATATAGAAAAAATATAAAATTTTTACTTAGCTTTGCACGTTTCGGGAACGAACCTGCTCCCGTTTTCAACATAAAAAATGGATTTTTCGTATTGCAAATTCGTATTTGTCCTGACACTTTTCAGTTCTTAGTGACAATTGGTGACGTTAGCAATCAAATGAGTTACATGATGTTGTCATTAATTAATCTTGAATTTACCATTTTTATTTTCAGATTTCAATAGTGAATACCATGTTCTATCTATATCAACTGAACAGGAAGCAATGCTATTGTCTCCGTTCAGAAGAATACAAGCAGATTCCTTGATTTTTCTCTTCTGGTTGTTATGTTCTTTTTCAATGATTTTAATATTATTCCACTCTGCCATATGTTGTCCATCTTCAGTAACGATATGTTCAGCTAGTTTCGATTTGTCGATGTGTCTTCTCTTTATATTGTATTTTTCAATCAAATCAGAAAAGTATTAAGAAAGGAATAATCAAATCACTCCATGATAGAGCCAAATCAATATCATCTGACCAAAAAATTTTCAATAACAAAGTTCATCACATTAAAAATGTTCTCCAACTCAACTCGTATCCAAAGAATTTTGTCGATAACACGATTCATCAAATTGAAAACAAACAAGGTCCACCAAAACAAAATCAACCATCGATAATGACAAATATAATACCATACATTCCCGGCATATCTGAAACGTGTTGGTGATAAATTTCAGTGAAAACTATGTTCAAAACAGAAAATTCAATGATATCAATTCTAACTCAAACAAAACCGAGAAATGAGGAACAATCATCAAAAAATTGTATTTATAGTATACCTTATGTTTGTGGAAGGTATTATACAGGTGAAACAAAGAGACCTCTCTCTGTAAGGATGGAAGAACACAAGTACAAAATCAAGAAAAGACATATCGATAAATCAAAGCTAACTGAACATATCCTTACTGAAGATGGACAACATATGGCAGAGTGGAATAATATTAAAATCATTGGACAAGAAGATAACAACAAGAAGAGAAAGATCAAGGAATCTGCTTGCATTCTTCTGCACGGAGAAAATAGCATTGCTTTCTGTTCAGTTGATATAGATAGAACATGGTATTCACTATTGAAATCTGAAAATGAAAATGGTAAATTCAAGTTTAATGAATGAAAACATCCTGTAACTCATTTGATTGCCAACGTCACCAATTGTCACCGAGAACTGAAAAGTGTCAGAACGAATACGAATTTGTAATACAAAAAATCCAATTTTTATGTTGAAAACGGGAGCGGATTCGTTCCCGAAACGTCGAACGCTAAGTACAAATTTTATATTTTTTCTATATACCTTTATTTCTCTTCTCCAAACGTTTTTCAATACAAATTGTCACTGACAAGCTAGTGAATTTTTCTTTTAGGCTCTCTGATAGGAAGATTCTTTAATAGCAGTGACATTTTAGGGCATATCATCTGATTTGTCCGTACTACAAGTATATTGAAATAATATTAATATTTTTATTTTACGAGGAGAGAAAATCCCAAAAAATCTGGAATAATGAAAAGAAAAAGTGATCATCACATCAGAACTGGCGCCGCCGAACGCTATGTTTGAAACTTCAATGAACTTGTAGTATATTCAAATTGTGTTTTTTGAAGTATTAAAGCATATTTTATCAAAAAAAGTATGCTTTCATGTTACGTTATGTAATATATTTCAATTACATGCACATTTAAATTGAATTCACGCACTTGTGGTCCTGGATATTTGACTCAAAATAGAAGTTTGCTTTAGAATTTTCAATCGTGAAAATACAAATATGATTATTTTTTCTTTATGCATGAAATAAGTATTTCTGTGCAGTTACAGAAAAAAACCTAGGCGTACATAATCAATTCACCACCTAAACAATATTTTTGTAATAATCTGCCATTGAAAATGATTATGCAAGCTGTCAGATAACTTGAAATTGATCATTTGAACTCAAATTAATGTTATTCAATTTTTCAACAAAATTCAACAGGAAACTCAAAGAAAGTGTGGGAGAAAAAAGTACCACAAACCCCTGTAGGATAAAACTGAGTGAAATTTCCGAAAAAACTTTCTTGTAATAAAATGTACAGGGTGGCCAACTAAGACTCCAGAGTTCGATACCTCTGTTGTCTTGAGAGATACAAAAAAAAGTTTTGCATTTAAATTAAAGTGCTAACCGAGCTTCACATTCCAAAATTTCTTTAAAATACACAGAGTGTTCCGTAAGGTCACAGCACATAAAAGCTATGTTTTTTTCATTTGAACACCCTATATTTTATTTCATTTTTGAAATCTCCCTGAAGATCTGATTTCAACGACCCATCATACTTATGGTCTAGAAGTGGATGTTACTGACATATAGGGTGTGCAAAATCGAGATTTTCCAAGTTCAGGATTTCTTTCTGTCGAAACTGTTCATTATTTGTCAAAACGGTTTACATGTCCCTATCTCAACTTCTCACTCACTATCAATTGGTGTTCAATTGACATTCAATTAAAACAAATTATAAATTTAGATTTTTTGACCACCTTGTATCAATTTCAATTGAGCACCAACTGATAGTGAGTGAAAAGTTGAGATAGGGACATGCTAAACCGTTTTGACGAATAATGAATAGTTTCGACACAAAAAAGGTCCTGAACTTGGAAAATCTTGATTTTTCACACCCTTTATCTCAGTAAATATAACTGCTAAACCATAAGTATGATGGCTCGTTGAAATCAGCTCTTCAGGGAGAATTCAAAAATGAAATAAAATATAGGGTGTTCCAATAAAAAAAACATAGCTTTGATGTGCTGTGACCTTACGGAACACCCTGTGTATTTCAAAGAAATTTTGAAATGTGAAGCTCGGTTATCACTTTGATTTGGATGCGAAACTTTTTTTTGTATCTCTCAAGACAACAGAGAAATCGAACTCTGGAGTCTTAGTTGGCCACCCTGTACATATCCGAATGCAAAAAATGAAACCAATCTTGAGTTATTGAAGACCTCATTGTCCCCACCATGGTGAATATATCGTTAATGTCAATACCCTGCAATACCCTGTTTTTATACAGTGTGTCCCACTTACCATGCTTACCATGGGTATCTTTTTAACGGTGAGAGATACGAGGTCGGTTAAATGACACCAAATATGGAGTTTGTCAAGGCCAACCATAATGTGAAAAATATTTTGATAAGATCTATTCGTTTTTGTTTTATACCCAAAAAACAGATTTTGATCATTTTCATGTCTCCTCCGTAACTTCTTTATTTATGAAAATATTCAAATAGGAATTTCACATTCTCATAGCAGTTTTTCAAAGTGATTTCGAAAAAAATATGAAATTTATACCAACTTTACTAGAATTTGAGATATCAGCACCAACTTTAGTTTTTCAAATGTAGGTCATAGCTCACTATGACTTAGTTACAAAAAACTTTTTTTTCTCTTTCAAATGATGTGTAGCACTAATAGTTTTGTGTTGATAACAACGGAGTTATTGTCATTTATACAAAAACAAAAAATTATTTGAAAGCCGCCATCTTGAATTCATAGATTTTAACAAAAAAATCATGATCTCCGACCTCAAAAACCCCCACTTACCAATTTTGAATGGAATCGGACCAAATCTTGTCCGCCATCTTGGAGCAGCCATTTTTTTTTAATTTCAACAAAGATTCCAAAATATATTGTCACCAAAATTATGAACACCTGCCAAATTTCAAGTCAATCGGAGTTATGGAATTTTTGTTGAAATAAAAAAAAATGGCTGCTCCAAGATGGCGGACAAGATTTGGTCCGATTTCAATCAAAATTGGTGAGTGGGGGTTTTTGAGGTCGGAGATCATAATTTTTTTGTTAAAATTCATAAATTCAAGATGGCGGCTTCCAAATAATTTTTTGTTTTTGTATAAATGACGATAACTCCGTTGTTATCAACACAAAACTATTACTGCGACATATCATCTGTAAGAGAAAAAAAAGTTATTTGTAACTAAGTCATAGTGAGCTTTGACCTACATTTGAAAAACTAAAGTTGGTGCTGATATCTCAGATTCTAGAAGAGTTGGTGAAAATTTCATATTTTTTTCAAAATCACTTTGAAAAACTGCCATGAGAATGTGAAATTCCTATTTGAATATTTTTATAAATAAAGAAGTTACAGAGGAGATATGAAAATGATCAAAATCTGTTTTTTGCGTATAAAACAAAAACGAATAGATTTCATCAAAATATGTTTTCACATTATAGTTGGCCTTGACAAACTACACATTTGGTGTCATTTAACCGACCTCGTATCTCTCACCGTTAAAAAGATACCCATGGTGAGCATGGTAAGTGGGACACACTGTATATGGTATATATTTCTTGACAACTCATTCTGATACAGTTCAATTTTGATCATAAAAAATCATGATTAAACCTTTGACCTCAAACTATTCCTATTTTGCAATAGGCAAAACCGCACAATATCATTTTTCTGTACAACTTCAAAATACATTACAGGAACGGAAACATTTAGGTAACTAGTATCTTACCCAGGACATGTTTGTACATTTTTGAGCAGTGGACACACTCAAAACAGCCATAATTACAAAAGCTGTCAACAACAGCTCCACAGCAGAAAATGAAACAACGATTAGGAAACAAACATTTATCCATCAAGTCATTCCAGTGCTAGGCCCTTCCCACTCAATTAGATAGTCCATTTTCCCAGTGGGCCCAATTCTTTTCGCTTTGACTACGAATCTCTCTCCTGTGGCGATACGATTTGCGGCACCAAAATAAATGTTGACAGAGCTTTTGAGGTCGTCTATATCAATATCTGGTTCCTGTTTGACTGGACTCGGTTTCGGCGTTGGAGGACTACTAGACACTTTATCTCTATCTTGTGGTTTTTCTGGTCTCTGACGTAATCGTCTTCCAGTGAAAGGGTAGTCCATACAGTTACCTACAAATAATAATGAATGTGATGAAACTCCTTATGGTTTCACGTGAATACCACGAATAAGGAGTATGTCAATCAACTTCAGAAAGAATGAACAATCAATTTTTTTCAGTAGGTTGTATTCAATTCAACAACCAGTTCATAATTTCTCGAATAACGCATACATGCATATAGCAGGAAGCTTTAATATAATGGGCTCACTGTTCACATGAAAAAGTTGTAAAAGTGACTGTCACATTCAGTTGAATTTCAGGTGATCACTCTAAACTAATCGTAAATATGTTTTCTTAAGTTTCATTTGAAATTACGTATACGGCACTGGGACGAAATAGCGCAGGACAAAATAGCGCGGACAAAAGAGCGCAGGACAAAATAGCGCAGAGACGAAATAGCACAGAGACGAAATAGCGCATCAGGACAGAATATCGCATAGAGGAAATAGCGCATTGACAAAATAGCGCAATTCAATGTAACCCAGTATAGTTCTGGGTGGAGTTGTATAATCATTTATGCATCTTGACCAGTTTCAATCAAGGAGTCCATGTGATTGCTATCTGTCACTGTCAGATATAAGTAGTCAAAATGCAAAAATCACAAAAAGGTGGAGACATTCTTTTCCATGAAGGTTTCCGGTACAGAAAAGACCGAGCCAATTCTAAATCCATATTATGGAGATGTACCACAGCTAGGTGTAAGGGTCGCTTGGTTTGTAGTGAAAACACTAAATCGATCAGAACTCCTCACAATCATGGTCCAAATCCCACTATGGAGCAGGTAAATTTAGTAAAGAGTAAAATAAAGGATCTCGCTCGAGCAACACCCCTTAAGCCAAGAAATATCATACAAAATTCTTATGAAAATGTATCTGTAGAAGTTTCAATATTATTACCAAGCTATGACGCGAATAGAAAAAGTGTGCATCGCCAGAGGAAATCTGATTCAGAAATCGAAAATCTCGAAAACTTAAAAACAGGGAGAGGAGAATCATTTTTTTTATGGGACTCTCACAACGGAGAGAAGGAGAAAAGTCGAATATTGATGCTTGGCACAAGAAATAACTTGAATTTATTGCTTGAGTTTCCTCACTGGGCTGCTGATGGAACCTTCAATGTTGCACCCCAGGTACTGTTTAGCCAGTTGTTCACCATTTACTACTTTAACAATCCAACGGCATACCTAGTATTAAGTTACTTCGTTTGTAAGGGTAGTCTCCTTTTGAAACATCTAGTATTTGAAGAAATAGTCTACGCCCTGACAAACGAATTAACGTAATCATAGATGATGCACTACGTTTTCGCGCTAAAATTTGTCCCTGCGCTATTATGACCCTGCGCTATTTTGTCTCTGCGCTATTTCGTCTCTGCGCTATTTTGTCTCTGCGCTATTTTGTCTCTGCGCTATTATGACCCTGCGCTATTATGTCCCTGCGCTATTTTGTCCGCGCTATTTCGTCCTGCGCTATTTTGTCCTGTGCTATTTCGTCCCAGTGCCACGTATACATGTATTATCAGATGTTATGATTGAAAACGAATTAGTGTTCCTGAAATGTAAGTAATGTATCTTAGTTATACAGGCTGAGTCATGACTAACCAGCCATAGACTAATGGCGGATAGATGAAGTCAAGGTGGGCTGATATATATGACTTTGATGAACGATATTTTAGGAACGTCTTGATGTTTTCGCCTGAAATTCACTAGCAATTAACCTCTACTGACACACTACACGATGGCCTACTATGGAAGACGAATTCCAGAGCCGGTCTTGGAAAACTAATTTTCTTTTTAAATATCAAAATTTCGACTTTTCAAATCGTATTTTTCAAAAACTAAAAGTAGCTCTTCAATTTGTAAGGCACACTTCGACCAGATTGGTGAAAGAATATCAAACGAAATTCAGACGAATATTTCTTCGATTTCGTCCGGGCCATATTACTCTCTACATTCGACTAAAAGTATTCCAATCAGTTTTTTGGAATATTGATATAGCAGCAGAGTTGAGAAAAGTATTATTAAAGATAAATCAGGACCGGACTTGATTTTTGGAAAGAATTACGAAACATTAAAATTTTCGAAAAAGATTCATCTGCAGATCCTAATATTTTTCAACGAAGATTCTCAAAATGTCCTCCTCCCCAATTTCTATACATTTTCTGCATATCTTCGGAAGATCTCTCATGGTTTTTCGAATAATTTGCCTATTATTTCTGATCATATCTGAATTTGTATCTATCCTCTTCTTCAGTTCCTCTCTGGTGTTGACTTCAGTCTGATATACCAATAGTTTCATAGATAGATAGAAAATACTGTGCGATTAGAGAATTGTTTGTCTAATGCTCTAGGTATCCTGTCACTTGTAATGAGTAATGTTCAGGTGCCCCATACCGTTAAGAGAAAATACCTATTTTGTCTAGGTTTCCTTTCACTTGTATTGAGTAATGTTCAGGTGCCCCATCCCGTTAAGAGAAAATACCTATTTAGGTCCATTTTCATACATCCATCACATCACAGTCTTCTATTGTAGTGTTTTCTGAATGATAAAAACACCAAACTCACAATTTGATCCGATGATTGTAGTATGTGCCCACGTATATCTGATTCGGAAAAATATTTTACCCAAGCATTATTTTTTTATATTCATTTATCTCTTGGAGAGCACGAAAGGGAATTCCTAAAATGTTCGGAGAACATCGTGAGGAGGTAGGTTTGAAAATCAGGTACTTATTGCCATGTTTTGAAAGGTCTCTATTCAAGAAAAGCAAGTGCGGTTCTAGAATGTTTCATCAAATAGTCTTTTTCCAACTCTTATAATACACCGATATGCAAGAAATGGATTTAAATGAATTTGTTGAACGATGTGACTACAATAGCCAGTACGAAATCATGGACGGTTCGTCAGTATTTTGTTCGATATTTTTTTCACCAATCCGGGGGAAGTGTGCCGTACAAATTGAAAAGTTACACTTGTAGGGTTTTTCCTGATCTTTCTGTTTCTGATCTGTATTTGAAAAATACGATTCAGAAAGTCGAAATTTTGACATTTTAAAAGAAAATGAGTTTTCCAAGTCTAGCTTTGGATTTTTTTCCATAGTACGCCATCGTGTGGTGTGTCAGTAGAGGTAAGTTGCTGGTGAATTTCAGGCGATAACATCGAGACGTTCCTGAAATATCGTTCATCAATGTTTCGCCCCGAATTCAAATAATGCCCTGAATTTCATTTACGAATCGGCAAAATATATTTTTTCACATATATATCAACTCACCCTGACTTCCTCTATCTACCATTAGGCTATGTCTGGTAAGTCATGACTCACCCTGTATCCAATGAAATACATTTCGAGTGTAAAAATTCAGTGCGTCTTATTCAACTAAATTCCTCGGAAATATGTTTTTTGAGTTCCATTCGAAACTAGAGGGTCTTTCAACAAGGACCGGTCGATGTTGTAATTGAATAAAACAAGCTGTGTGTGAGATATTAACGATTTTTTATTTATGTTCACTTTCAGGGCATCGGTCGATTGCGGCTTATTAACATAGACCTGCGACTTCAGAAAACCCCACAAGAAAAAGTCTAGTGGAGTCAAATCGCACGATCTTGGCGGCCAATTCACATCACCTCTGCGAGAGATAACCCTACCATCAAACCGTTCGTGCAGAATGTCCATTGTATCGTTCGCTGTGTGACACGTTGCGCCGCCTTGTTGGAACCACATGTCGTCCACGCCCATATCGTTCAATTCAGGCCAAAAGAAATTGATAATCATTGATCTGTAGCGCTCGCCATTGACGGTGATGGCCTCGCCAATGTCATTCAAACAGTAACTCTTTGTGGATGCATTGCCACCTGGTGAACCTCCTGTGGGATGTGTTCATGGACGTATAAACAAAGAAGGACCCATTTATTTACATCGTAATGTGAACCCAGAGAATACGGTCACAGTATATCACCTGATGTGGAATTGGAGGTTGTCACGTCCTGTCGCTATTAATTCCTAACCTCAGACTAATTCTCTCAAGTATTTTTACTTACCCCTTTTGTAATCATCTATTCAATAAGATGTTCATTATGATCCAATTCATAGATCTCAAGGAATAAATCATATGTCCATAGATAGTCACAATCAAATATTATAAAACTGTCGTAATACATTATTTCAAAGTTATTCTGTAAAGGCTACCGAGATTATACACAACCGACAACGCCGCTGCAAAACAGGCTCGTTTCGTGCTTTCGGCGAGTTCGGCGTTGTTTGTTTATGGTTATGTGTTTGAGGAAGTTTATTGTTTTCGTTGTTTATGAGTGAATTTTCTTATTTTTTTGTGAAAAGTTGATAGAGACTAATAATGGTGTTACACTGCTGGATTTGCCAAATCTCACCTTCCATTCGTAAGTACTATTTTTTTACATATTTGAATTAGAGTTTCATAGGCGTAACAATTGATATTTTCATCAAATACAGAATGCGAAGTCTCAATGTATTTCTTCATATATGTATATATCCATTTTTTTACGTACTTAATTTATCTGAGAACATTCCTTTTCAATGCTTTTCTGTTAAGAGGAAGTTGTACTATGATATAAAGCAATAATGCAAGGGTTTCGTAGTCCCTAACTTTTCACAGTCATTTTCTATTTTGAGTGGATGAAAACAAATGTAGATATTCATGAAGATCTCATGAATGTTCCTGCATTCCCACTTTTTCGAAATTTGATTCGGTCCTTGAGAAAAAAAATTTTAAAATCATCAAAAAACACGTTATTTTGTGATTTTTTCCAGAAAAAAACTGAATCAAATTTCGAAAAAGTGAGACGACAGGAACATCGATTAGATCTTCACAAATATGTACTGATTTTTTCATTCACTCAAAATGAAAAATGAACATAAAAAGTTAGGGACTAAGAAACCCTTGCATGGCAACAATTTATGTCCAGAGAGTGGCGCCGCTCTCAGAATTCATAGGGATTAACATTTATGAAAGGAGATGAAAAATACATTCCTTATTCGCAATGTTTACGAGGGTCTGGCATGTGTGAAAAATTGAAATTTCATAATTTCAGTGGGATATCATATCATCATTATTTCATATCATTTCAGACCGCTCCAATATACCTAGAAATTCAAGAATATACGGCAATGTTACGGTGAGGTTCTCAAAATTAACATTCAATGATAAAATTAGAAACATATAAATAATAATTGTGGATAAGTTAAGTATATATAAATTTGAATAATTATGCGAATTGAATTAAATTCTCAGTACACTATATATGAATTATATACATGATGTCTCATTTCCTAATGAGACAATTTTTCCCTTGTGATAATTTAATATTATTGTTAAATATTCATTGACCTATGTACATTTGTTTCTTATCCTCACTACAAGGTTCACTTTGTAAGGTTTTTCCCAGTTTATTAAAAATACCTATCTGTATGTTCCAATGTATATTTTGTAAACGTTTTTGAATAAACTTATATTATTATTATTATTAATATTTCTTGAGTTCCAGAATCATGGAATATTTTGAAAAATAAAACGTTATAAACGTTTATTAACGCGTATAATTTGAATAAGGATAACCTCGGGAATAATAAGGACGGTCGAATCAGAAACAATTGTGGAAACGATAGAAAATCTACTGCCATCCAGTTATAGGCATATCAAAACAATATTTATCAAAATAAAAAAGGATGCACTTTTTTGTCGATATCAAAGTCGACTCATTAGCGCTGCGGTTTGACAGGCGTCTACTGTTCTTTGACCCTCGCCGCATGATTTATCAATCAATCTGTCATTATTATTATACATTTGTGATGTGATAGAAATTGTAGATACCTAGCTCCTATAATTCTATATTTTTTATTACTTATTTTTTTATTTCTGTGTTATTTGCATTACATGTCATATAGAAGCAAGTGTATAATGTATCATAGTTGTCAAATGAAATGATACTCAGTCATATTGTCTAGTAATAATCCTCTTCCTTATTATGAACTGTTAGCCATGAATGAGGATATAGTTGACAGTATTTTGCATCTGCATCGTTATCAAATAGATTCCCAAACTGATCGGATTGAGTGATCATCAATTAATCAGAGAAAAAGTTGTTCTTCGGGGGGTCAAAAAAGTGGTTGATGAAGAAGTGAAAATAATAGATAGAATAGTATATATAAACTTATTTTGACCTCATTAGACGTGGTAGTTCTGTGTCCCAGCAATTTTGGGAGACTCTTTTTAGTTGGTTTGTTGGTGTACCATATGGAAAAAGATACAGAGCTCTCAATGATTCCTTATAGAGTACCGAAATTTCATTATTTTAATAATCTATTCTGCGTACCAGTTCACCACACCACAATTATATAAAAACCATTATTCAATATGTGAAAACCAGAAATCGGAAAAAACGTCTTTATAGGTAGGTAGGCATCAAAGAGAGTATTTTCGCCAACTTAATTTATAATTTTCCAATAGATGAAAGGTTTTGTCGGAACACAAAACTGTATTTGTTTTGTTCACTTGGTATAACCCATAGCGACCCGTATTGGTAAACGGTCATATAGTGATTGGTATTGAGTTTTTAGTCTTTGCATTTTGGATTCCGAAATTTACTATCACGATAATTCATATTCGCACGCCGCTGTCGTTTGAGGAAATAGCACAGTCTATCGTTACCGTTTCCCTTCCCCTCAACCCGCTTGCCTACATCTTTAAGACTTCAAAACATTATACGCTGAAAGTCTAGAGTTGCTGTGCCCTTCTTTTTTATACGTCCATGGATGTGTTCATCCCATATACGGCAATTCTGCTTATTAACGAAACCATTCATCCAAAAATGGGCCTCGTCGCTAAAGATTATTTTTCGGTCAAAATCGGGGTCGTCTTCCAAACGTTCCGAAGCCCACTGAGCGAACAAACGGCGTTGCCTATGGTCATTAACTTTGAGCTGCTGGGTTAGTTGGATCTTGTACGGGTGCAGGCCCAAGTCCAGGCGAAAGATTCTCCGAGTTGAAGTCTGCGAAAGGCCTAGTTCTTGTGCACGGCGAGAAATCGACTGCCTCGGAGTCTTCTGCACACTCTGATGGACAGCGTCGATATTATCGGCCGATCTGGCGTTTCTTTGACGTAAGGGTGTTGGTTGGTTGTTTGTTTACCGAACCGGTCGTCTCGAATTTGGCTACCAAACTTTGGTGAGTCGACTTTGAAGGGCCACTGCGTCTGCTGTAAAATGGGCGCAATGCGCGCAACGTTTGCACTAACGAACACTCATTTTGATAATAAAATTTAATCATTTGGACATGCTGCTCGATCGTGTAACTTGCCATGGTAATTTGGCATCAGTGACTGAATAGAATACAACAGATTTGACAGATGCCCCCAAAAAAACACTGTCGTGAATATGCATGAAATATTCACGATAGTAAATTGCTACGAATTTTAGAGCAGTGCCTTTCGAGGATTTTGAAATATTCAAGAGAATCCGGGGAAACACTTATTATTCAACGACCTCTCACGGCTCAACGGTGCATTTTCTTATAGAGGAAAGTCGATTTCTTTCGGCCTATTTGCTGTAGAATTTGCCTTTACGGTGTTCTGGGATACCTTGTATATTATTTCGAATGAGCCCACCTAGTTAATTTCTGAGTGGGGGCGGACATTTTTTATTCAGGTATATGGACGTTTTAGAACGAGTTCAACTAAATTTTTTAATAAGAGTTCTCTTAGTACCTTCCAATACTCCAGATGTCATTGTTCGCATTGCATATAACATTTATTTAAAATGACCCATAACTAGATTCAAAAAATGTATTCGATGGAAAATAATCGATACCCCAAACTTTGCTTATTAAAACAACTCCGTTTTATCAATGGTGCTGATGACAAATATAATTGGTTACTGCAGGTGCATGGGAAATAGGATTTGTAAAGAACAGCTGCTAACAAAATATTATGCTTATTTACATGGCTTAGATGCGTCTATAGCCTCCCGCTACCAATTTCTTTGTATGTATATATAATCTATTTGACATTTCGGATAATCCAAGTATCGACATTTGATATTACCAATTCAGGTCACTCACTCAGTTACGCATGTCAAATGATTTTATGATCAAGTTCACCTTAAATGGGAATATTTATAAAATTGATCCAAACTTAACTTGTCCCATATTTAACAGAAACCAAAATGAGACACTCATACACATGCCCTTTGATTGTCCAATATATACTGTTATGAATCAGAATATTTCCTGCCTCCAGATTGTACATTAATTAATTGTTGCACTTGAAAATATCACTATAACAGAAGCTAGAAATATTGCTACTTATATTTGAGCTTCGTTCATTCATCCTAACCAAATAACATATATATAACTTGTTGTTTATTATTATTTTGTTATGCACATTATTTTCATTAATTTGTACCTTTCTGTGATTCTTTATTGTTATCTCTCTCTCACCTTTCCCTATACGCAATTATATATTATTATATTTATATTCGATATTTAGAAAAAAAGAAAAAACCGAAAAATAACGATTTTTCTAAAACACAATTTTCGAAAAATATCCCCCTATTACTCCAATATACGTTCATTGCAAATGTACAGTTAGTTGTATTCAATAAAAAGGCGTATATGTCTTGAAAAGAGAGGTCAACGTCATCCTAGTTCTAGTTGCATGAACCTGGCTCAGCCAATGCTTTGTATTTTTGACTACATATTACAACTGTAAACATAATAATATGATAAACAATCATTCCCTAGAGCCCGTTTTATGCAAATAGGATTACGTGAATGTCTCTTTGTATTACCTGTCAAATTATCATTTGAAATGTTTTAAATCGATTTTCACGATATGTTTAATTGTAAGCTATCTCAGTGCTCAGTGCTTTCATTATTGTTCTACAAAATCCAAATATTCGATTTTTATAGTGAAGTTGAGTGACTGTATCTTCAAGATTTCAAAACTCTCGCCTTATTCAACTGTGAAATGCTGACACGTGCAGTTCTATTTGTTCAATGTTGGCGACAATATAGGCGATTAGCAGTCTATTTGCACAATGCGAGAAGCTAGTTATTTTTTCGGAAAGTATACATTCTTTGGCTTGAATGAAGATGGCGGTACGATCGCCGACCAGTAAAACCCATAAAGCGCACTCACATATTTCTTACCTAAATTTGAATTATTTGGTGATTGACTAGTCCTTTGGCTCCATTCCCTGGCATCTGTTTTAACAGGCACTACAGCTGCAGTCTTACTAGCAGTCTGACCATAACTTACATTCGGATTTCTACCCCTTCGAAATCTCTTTCTTTTCACTTGTCCATTCGGTCCGATCACAATATCTTTCTCGCTCAATTGCCTTTTCGTTGGCCTCATCTTTGGAGCACCAGGTATCACAGCTGTTAATGGTAAGGGAAGAGTGATGTCTTTCCTTTTTTTCCCCTTCTGGTTACTGTCTTCCACGCAACCCCTGAGAAGAACCAGAAAGGGGTTGTTTTTGCCTTCAAAGTCTTTGGGTGGGGGAATTATGGCGTCCAAAGTGCTCTTCGAACTAGTCTCATCTCCCGAGGTATCACAGGGAGTGTTCAGTTCTGAGTTGAGCTCCAATATACACGCCTTCTTGGGGCTGGAAACTTTGGTTTGGTTGGTAGAACTTTCTGAGAAGTCGTTACTCAAATCAGATATAATAGAGGTGGAGTTTGAGGCAGGAGGGGTTGGTGGTGCACTCACTGATATTGGAGGAGTAGATGGCAGTGATTCAGCAGTTTTAATTATTCTACTATCTACACTGAGCCTGAGTTTCCTGAAGCCTTCCCTATCAGACTTTGCAACATTATCATCCATGGTTATTCTTCGTTTGGGTCTTTTCAATATTCTCTCTCTTTCTCTACTGCTCATGGCCAAGAGCTTTTTTCTTCTCTGCAAGCTCATTTTCTTAAAAGGCACACTCTTTTTAGCACATCCAGCACCTAAATAAGTATTTTTTTGTAAGACATCATTGCGTCCAATAGCCAAATCCTCACTGACAATTTCCGGGCTGGGACAAGGAGAATCAGACTCGGACAGGCCAGAATTTTGCTGGTAGGTCACACCCATCATAATGTTCTTCATGTGGACGTCTGTCTCGACAATCCTCTTGATTACAGTGTTCTTCTCTATGGGTAGAAATTGTAATCTTCTATTGCCTTGCCATGACTCCCTTAGTTCTTCTTCCGTTATGAGGCCAGTTAGCGGAAGAACAATGCAGGGTGCCGGCGGAGGAAGTCGAACCCGAAGTCCCCATATTGTTGTACGCTTTTTTATTTCTCGGCCACATTTGAAACGGTTACGGTTATTCGTCAGTACCGACATGATATTTTCCCGTCGTTCCAATTTACTCACATTCGTAATCTGAAAATATCAATCAGTTATTCAATCGAGTAAAAAAAATCAGATGATCAACAAATGTTGAAATGGGTGGGTAGGTAGGCACATAGTATCCGACAAGTTTGACTGAAGTGGGTGTTGCGCTTCTGTTTTGACCAAACTTGGCAACAAAATCGCGGGTTAATAAAGTTATACCGACTCCGGCAATGTAATTTCTGAAATGAGCGCTCTGAAGCTTAGGGTAGACAACAAACCTGAAAACCACAAATGGAAGAACTAGGCTAGTTCTCAGTTATAAGCTAAATTGAACTCGCGCAAACTACGTGATTGGTTCGGAAATGTTAGATGTACGAGAATAGTTTTTCTTCGGAAACCCAACTTGTGAAGAGAATTCAGGAAATGCTCTAGGACTCATTCTAACGTCAATTTCTACATTCAACATTTGTCAACTGTCAAACTTTGTTTTGTCATCCAAGATTACATTATTAATCAGAATTGATAATGCGAATTCTCTTTGGTTTGTGATTGGTCAGATTATGTGAGAATGTTAAGATGAGTAAAATAGTCAAAAAATACCACATTCTGAAACTGCTTCCACTTTCTATCATACAATATCAAAATGGAATAAATTCCACCTAGGGCGGATGGAAACAAGTTAACATGTGAATTATGAATTATTATTCAGTTGTGATGTTCAACTGTTTGCGTAAAATGAATCTTAAAACGAAACAATTTGGGAACAAACCTTTGGTGGTAGCTGTAAGGCATGCCAGTTATCATTTATATAAGGAACAACAACAGTATCCAGATCATAATACTTTTTGGAGTTGAAGGCAGTTAAATTGAATAACATCAGATGTACTAGGTCCACCCATTTCATTTCTAACCGCCTCAAAAAATCTTTGCCTTGATTGCATATGGAACAGACAAATACATAAAACCTGCAATAAAAATACATAATTAAAACAATTACACGCCACCTTTCTTCCTTTACTTGCGAAAATAAACAATCACAATTTGGAACAGCCAGCTTATAGATGCCTGCTTCAAAATAGTTGGTTGATATATGTTTTGACTATCAGAATGAAATATTCCAAGATCCCATGAACGCTAGACCTTTGTTATTTCATAGAAGCTCCTAACACAGGTAAGAATGATGGGCAAATATGGAGTTAAGGTCATGGTGCCTTTGGGAGGTTACAGGGAGCAAAGGTGCTAAAATTACCAACTTACTTTCGTCATACTTTTTTTTTGCAATTGCATTACCTCGTTGGTCCCAGCACTGGGACCAAACGCCCCATAAGTCGAAACTTGTGCGGGGTTAGGTATGCATACAAACACTAACATCCATGGCCTAACTAGGATTCGAACCTATGTCTCGGTGGGAGTCCCCATACGAACTCAGCGCCTTCACGCTCTCGACCACCGAGCCATACTATAAAGGGTATTTTTTTTTATATTCCAATCGAGATAATTAGAAACCACGTCATCAATTGCCAGACATCTTACCATGGTGCCTACCCCTTGCCAGACACTAGACCTAGATGAATTGTAACTCAACTCTCGTTAAGTATAAAAGCTGAATTTTATACATGTTACTTGGGTAACAATTAGAAAATGTTTCCTCAGTAGCCACACCGTTCTGGTGGTGCTAACTCCTAGCCAGACAGACATACAGTGCTTTCATAAAGAAGTGAATAAAATAATTGTCAGGCAAACTACCAATTTCTGAAGAATCTCTTGAAATAGGTCGACTTTCGATTTCAATTTTCCACATTCATACAGGGGAATTGAATATACAGGGTGATCAACGTTGGAATTATCATGTTCGCATCAAATATGGAACACCCTATATATCATCCAAGTTTTGGAATCTCCATGGAAAGCTGACTTCAAACATTTATCACACGTAGGGTTTGTATACAGTGCGTCCGTTGAATTCAGTGCGCTCTCAAAGTATAGTGGATAAATACGTGAGGAATTTAATAAATTCGAAAGAGATCCCAAATAATAATGAACTTCGACAGCTTCGAGCGTTCTTTCAAAAAATTATTTCTTTAATTTTTTTACGAACTTTTCACTCAATTTCCATTTGAAAAAATCATCGCAGACGTCATGAATCAGACGCGGATAACCCTGTATATTTAATTTTTCTTTCGCAAATATGGAAAAATGAAAATAAAGTTTAGTTTAGTTTACGAGAATACTTGATGTAACAGACTCACTGTATACAAACCTTATGTGTGATATATGTTTGAATTCAGCTTTCCATGGAGATTCCAAATTGAAATTTGTTGACGCGGACATGATAACTCCAACGTGGGTCACCCCGCACATTTAATTTGCCCGTATGAAAGTGACAAATTGAAATTAAAAGTTGTCCTATTTCGAGAGATTCTTCAGAAATTGATAGTTTGACTGAAAATTAATTTAGTCAGTACTTTACGAAAGCACTGTATGTCTGTCTGGCTAGGGGTTAGCACCACCAGAACGGTCTGGATACTGAGGAAACATTTTCTGATTTTTACCCAAGTAACATGAATAAGATTCCGGTTTTATACTTTAATGAATGTTAAGCTACAATTGATCAAGGTTTAAGGATGTTTGGCAAGGGGTCGGCACGATGGTAACGTGTCTGGCAATGAATGACGTGGTTTCTAATATTATCCCGAATAAAATATGAAAAAATTACCTCTCATAGTATGACGAAAGTAAGTTGGTATTTTTAGCCACCTTCGCTCCCTGTAACCTAACAAAGGCACCATGACCTAAACTTCATATTTGACCATCGTTCTTATAAAATAACGAAGGTCTGGCGTTCATGGGATCTTGCTCTATAATAAGTCATCAATGTTAAGTCATGGATATATTGAGACACTTTCTTGTTTCTTCAAATACCTTGTGATGAATTCCTCCAATGATCTATCTTTGAGAATATTGGTTGTGGTGGTGTAATAAAATAGTGACGGAGAGATCAAGATAGATCCTTGAAAGATACCAACATCAGTTATAACTAGATTTGATGATAAGATGAGAAGTCATGATTTATTGTTTCCTGTTCGCCAATTTTATTATATTTAAAACATTTTTACCAATTTCAAAACTCAGTAATTTGTCTAGCAAGATATCACGAGATTACGAGGTTGTTGGGAATTCAACTTATCTTTTGGCCACTTTCTATAAAAAAATTGGCCAGCTCATTATTCTTGTTCTCAAGGGCCACAGTTAAGTAAGCTGAGCATCATGCTCATACCCATACCATAATGCTGGTATTATGCTAAAATTGGAAATAGTTGAGCTTTGGTCATTACACATTTTGATTTTCTTTCTCTTTTTATTCAATATTCGTTGTTTTGAGCGTAATGGGCCTTTGCATTATCGTAAAATTCGACCCTTTTTCGCTATTCCTGGCGACATATGTATCGATAAAATCGAACGACAAATGAATTATTCAATATTGAAAATGCTATTTCAATACCTATGAATTCAAACGCAACAAGCTGTGATGTCAGTGTCTTCTTGCAATTTGATTGGTTGGGGTTCTGACGGCAGGGAATAACTCCGCTGTTGCCAGATCTCTATAAAATCCTTGAATTGATCCTATGTGCAAGATGGTGCAAGGAATGCAATGATACGAAATTACTATGTAGTAGGTGATTAATTGATTGGTAATTCACTGCTGATCACATTCAATTTACTCTGAACTCCAAAGTATTCCATTTGTTTCAAGATTAACTGGGATAAAATGTGATGCAGGCATTTAACAGTAAGATGCTTTTTACATACTTAGTTTGGTTTTAGTTATATTGAAATACAGGGTGATTCAAAAGTAAGCGGCATCCTTTCAGAGGCGTATTCCTTGCTTGAAAATAAGGCAAAAAGTTCCTATTGATAAGGATCCGAAAATGCTTCCTAAGGGAGCTACGGCCCTTTGAATAGGACACCTCAAAGACGGTTTTTTCTCTATAACTTTAAAATCCTTCACAACAAATTTTTAAAAATTGGTGTACGGCATAAACATTCGATGGTAAATAGGACTCCGTATTCGAAATTTCAGAATTTCATTCAGGGGCGTCACATGCGGGAGAGGGTAAGTGTAAAAATATCCCTTCTTCTCCGGATATTCAGGTTACTGTGATTTCGTTTGGAAATTATTTCGAATACGGAGTCCTATTTACCATCGAATGTTTATGCCGTACACCAATTTTTAAAAATTTGTTGTGAAGGATTTTAAAGTTATAGAGAAAAAACCGTCTTTGAGGTGTCCTATTCAAAGGGCCGTAGCTCCCTTAGGAAGCATTTTCGGATCCTTATCAATAGGAACTTTTTGCCTTATTTTCATGCAAGGAATACGCCTCTGAAAGGATGCCGCTTACTTTTGAATCACCCTGTATAGTTGACTAATAATTGTTATAATCATCAAATTGAACAGTGTTATATCTCAAGCACTCATTCCCAGAAAATTTAATTGTTAATCTGGCAACTAAGTCTACAAGAGAAAGAGATGAAGCAACTGGCGCTAATACAATGTTGCCAAGTTGAAAATACCTAACTTCACTGTTCTTGTTTCTCAATATTATTGACAAGAAGGCAGTGATGCTTGTACTGAAATCAATAGAAATAGAACCAAGTAAACAACTTAGTATTGATTGATTCAGAATTTGTTTCTTTCCCTATGGTAGATTGGTATAGGTGGGTACATGATAGGTGAGTACCTAAACTTGAAAGTTCTTCACTGGAAGGGTTTTGAAACTGAATGTCATAAATATTTGCACTGTAATTCAATACAAAATGAAATTTCACTAACAATTTTGAATGATTCTCCAACAAAAATCAACCAACTAATCATGCAATGCAAAAAAAAATTCTAAATTAATATTCGACTAATCCTAGCTTTCTGTCCAAATTGGCAACATTGGCAGGTCCATCATGCATTTTATTGGCACCCGCAAGAAGGTCAAAGAATTACTAATCCAAATTACTGGCGCACTGACGTCACACGTTTCGCGGCCATGTTCGTTTGAATTCGCTCGATCATTTTCGCGTTTTCAATCATTTTTTATGCGATAGATTGGTAGAAAAAAATCTCAAAAAAATGTCAATGTATTTCAGGGCCATATATTTCAAGATATATTTCTAGAAATGACTGGAAAGGCCCATTGATTAGGAAATCGACGTATTTTCCTTTCAAGGTTATACTTAAGCTGATTTTCAGTAAATGACATATATTTTGATTGTCCACCAGATCGCGCTACTGAGGCTCAAGGTTATGGTTGGTAGAGCTGATAGCTATACTCTTCTCATTATACAGGCTGATTGACAAGCCATAGCGTCACTTTTTGAAAAACAGAATGCAAATCAAATGACTGATCAGATACTATGAGTGGGCAATGATAATAGTTTTTTTAAATTGAAACTATAACGTCAGCGACTGTCAACTTTCTTCTTTCAAATAGAACCATGTATAGAATTTTTGGTTGCCGACAGGCCTGACCGACCAGTCACGTGACTGATCACAATGACAAATAGGATTGTTTCGACCGGTCGCTTGTATACAAAAACGACAAAACCCTTAAAACCTTGAACTTCACTGTTCAATCAATAATATACCGAAAATAACACATTCAGTCTGTCCAAGATAAGGTTGAACAGCATGGGGATCTCGAAGACGGTAGGAGATACGAAGTCGGTTAAATGGGGAAAAAGTTGCGCATTCGGAGGCTCATATCAAGAGCCTTCGAAAATTTTTAGAATTATTTTCAGTTCTTTAGTTATATCGAAAAAAGTGAATTTTTGGAATATCTATTTTATTTTTTTTCTCCGTTATTATTAGAGATACAGAAAAACTGAAAATACTTTTCCATTGCAACTTTTGATGACGTTTAACGTGGTTATACCGATTTTTTATGCGACGTTTCGTATCCGTAGAACCATCATCAAC